TAAAAGAAAGCACATGAAAACGAGATTCTATTCCAAAGCTCCTTCGAATGATCGTTTTAACAAAACTCTGGCAAACTGTGGCTGGAAAATCCCTGACGCAGCCTCTCAAAAACGCGCCAGTTTCCCGACAAATTGGAAGAACCATGGTGAGAAGCAATTTCAAGTCCATTGCTTTCGTTTCTGTTTTTGGCTTTCGCCGAAAAATCTGATTATTTAAAGGGGGAAAAAAAAGAAAGAAAGAAAAAAAAAAAAGAAAAAGAAAAGAGGAAAACGAAAATTTCAGTTTGAATTAGGTAGACACGATCGAAATATGTATGGCATCGCGTTCAAAACAACGTCAGAAGTTTTATAGACGAGTATCGTTGCCATAGAGAGAACGACGTCGTCGTGAACTCGCAAATGTTGCGGAAATTTCACCCACCGGTGTCTTACGTCGCGTTCACATTGACCAGAACAGTTCTGTTCGTGAACAGAATTGCTTGCATTATTAACGTGAATAAGAGCAATGTTGCATCCATATATAAACTACTGTAAAGTTTGATTTTTGCAAACAGTTCGTTGTTAATTTTCATCGTGTGTATATTGAAATAAATTTTAAAATTAAAAACAAAAAAGAGAATATGTAATTGTTTAAATATGCTCTTACAGGTATCACTAGACATAAATACATTAAAAATATATTTTTTCGAAAATATAGTGTTACATACAATTGATTGATTTTTAAACTTTACCATAGATTTACCAGATTGACTAGAATACCATAAAATCATGGAACATCGAATAATTGTGCAGAGAAATACGAGTTGGCCAATGGATATCAAACTCTGGCATTAAACTTTTGAACCAGAATTATTGATTAATGCAAAATTTTAACGAAGTATACGCGTGATCTTTAATGTACAGCATGTACTTAACACTACAATTACTAGATGAGCATAATAACAACTTTAGTAACAATAGAGTCAACTATCTTTTGAATAACAAATCTAGGACAAAATGCATTTCCGTTTTCCTAAATATTACATCGTCAAAAGTTTTATATTTAAAATTGTTCCACTTTGCAGTTAACGTTTACTGAAGTTAGATAACACACGATCCAACACTTAACGATTAGCATAACGCTGGTGCATCCATAGATGGAGGATTTGAATCTACATTCCACAACTATCACAGAAGGGTATGACAGAATAGAGAAACTATGCTGATAACGCAATATCATTTATCATAACTCTTCTGACCGTGAAACGTAATCTTTTTGCTCGACAATAAAACAAATCTTGAGGAATTTGTTGTAACCATTTGATTAATATTTTCAGTATCCACAAGAAACACATTCTAAAACGCTTTTCGTCAGTGTGTACGCAGCATTATGAATCGTGGAAAACGCAGCGACAAAGGGGGTTGATGGAGACCGCGCGACGTCGTGAAAAAGGAAGCGGAAGATAGAAGAAGAAGGGTGAGTAGCCTTCGTGAAAGTTTCGCGTGACACGCCGTTAAGGGGTGCTATCGTTTCATTCGTATAGAGGTGATTTTGTTAGCCATGGGGGAGGGCTGTCGAGCCAAGGGTTGCGAGGAATCTATCGGTAGGCCAGATTTTACCCCTATGTGCACGCGAGTTTCCTGCTGTACAGTTTTCCTCGCAATACCTGGGATTATTTCGTGAGGGCTGATAAACACATGTAATGGAAGAAATTGACTATCGTTGGGAAAAAGGGAAGATGGAAGGGTGGATAAAAAGAATCGTAGAGAAGAGGGTAAAAGTAATTTCGCGAAAATAATTTCCCTTTTCAATCGTAACGTCGCAGGAGAAAGACTCGGTTCACTGTTTTCGAGTTAGAATCCTTTGGTTAGATAGGAGGTAGGATTTGTCGATAGAAGATTCATCGAGGTCACGTAAGCATGAAGAAATGCGTTAACGAGATACGAATTTGGGTATTAGTCGCCGATTCGTGAGTTGTTTGCATGTAGGGAGAGAAATGTGATAAATGCTTTTATCTTTTTATAGCGGAGGAATTTTAAAATTCGATGGATAACGTAATAATTTTAGTGGTATTATCGAAATTCTATTTTTATTTCGTTTTGGGATTAAACGTATGCTTTTGCCACCTATTTGTGTATTTTGAAAATATTCATAATATTGCTTTTTTTTGTGAAAAGCTATTTTTATCGTATATACATATTTACAATTGAAATTGTAAAAATAAAACGTTTAAAACTTTATATAAATTTATATTTTATAATACGAATGTAATTCTATTTGTATTTTTACCTGCATGTTTCTCAATATTAAAATGTTTATTATTAATATTAAACGCTTATTATTATTAATATTATAATTTTATGTATAAACATTCATAATACATATGATTATTAATATTAATATTTTATTAATATGACTAAATTAAAATTACATTATAATAATATTAAAATTTAATATTAAATCGATGGATAGAAAAATTGATTACATTGAATCGTTTGATGAGATTAATTATAACCTCCTAAAATATTTCTCATTTAATCGCCAAAATCATCAGAAAATCAATAAAACTTATCACATTTCTCTCATCCGATTTTTATAGGATTTCTTCGTCGATAAAATCGCGTTAAATATTTCAAAAAACCGTTTATCGCGTATATTTCTATTTTTCTTAATATAATTTCATCGGTCAAAGCCCTCTCGTAATTTTTCGATAATCTTCGCCTCGTCGAAATCTCGTATACACACAATCCGTCGAGTAATTTCTCCGCATTATAGCCAGTTACGCGGCCGCGTTAATTAAAATCTCTCTCTCTCTCTCTCTCTCTCTTTCTCTCTATGCCGAAAAACTCGTCACTGAAATCCCAAACCGAAAGATATGAACAACACGATGAACGAGCAAAACAACGACCATACACCGGCTTTCCACTTGTTTCGGGTTTATGTGTAGACGATCGAAGTGTCTGCACGAACGTACTTCTCAAAGCGGCTGAAAATATCGTTCGTCGCGCAACTCGAAAGCCATTGTGTATTATTTAACGACTTCGAGATCTATTGTCGTGGATCGCGAGGTTTCGCCGATTTTCGTGAAACTTTCTAAAAGTCTTGCCTGAACGAGATTAAAAATATAATTCTGAAGTATAATTCTACCCCTTGAACAGAGTTCACCAAATCCATTATGCCGAATCCATCATATCTTGGGGATGCGTCATCGAAAAATCGTGCAATCTACGGGAAGAAGTTAAGTGTGACGAAGCACACATGTGACAGAGTCTTTGGATCCGGTGGCAAATTTTCCGACAGATTATTCTGAAAAATTGCCACGGTAGAAAAGCAAGATCATGGAAATCCATCTCCTATATATTTTCTGGCCACATATTAACAGGAAATTGGATGTTTCGCGTTACCCTGTTTGGACAGCGTTCTACATTCGCAATTTCTTTTTTTTTTTTTTTTTTTTTTCCTTTCTATGAACCATGCATTTTTTTTCAAATGTCTCTCTAGATCGCAAGATTTACGAGTGAATCCTTTTACTTCTCGAATATATGTGTAAAAAAAGAGTGATATATTTAAAGGATCGAGATACATTGGATCTATTTATATCCGATCGTCCTCGAAGACACTCGATTATACCGTAAGATATATCGATATCAGCCTTCTTCCACGACTTTGTGCGAGGCAATTTTTACCAAAGATCGAGATGAAATTGAAATTTACGATGCATCGACGTTTTCCACTATCAAAAAAAAAAAAAGGAAAAAAAATTCTTCGACAGAATTTTATTGGCAAAAACCACGGATTTCTCTTTCATATTGTGGTATCAAAACGAAAAGAAAAAAAAAAAGGAAGAAAAAGAAAAACAACAGTAGAAGAAAGAAAAGTCGTTCCCCCGGTGAGGACAACAACTTCAGCTCGAATCGCTTACGAAACCTCTGGAAATAAAGTCGGCAATCCGGCCACGAAGGGTGCATACCGGCAACCAACAGGTGTTACGTAACGAAATTTCATTAAAAAAACAACGAACGGCATCGACCCTCTCGCATCTCGGAATAACCTACTTAAATTCACCAGACAATCTCGAGCCAACCCCTCCCCGCTACCCCCATCTCGACTCCATCAAGTGGAGTGACTTCAAATCAGCCGCGAGCCGCGGGGAAAAGTATCGCGAGGCATTCGTGCGGATGGAATCTCCGTCGAGGAAGATCCAACCTCTCCCCTTCTTTTTCCTTCTCGCGTGTATCGCGCAAAGCAAGGAGGATCTACCCGGTAAACGAATTCGTATCGATGACCCGCCAAGTATTAATCGACGAGGACAATGGATTCGCGCACAAAGAGCGAGAATGCATCTCCCTCTCCCCCCTGTATCGAGAAGAAACGCTACGAATTTAGCGTTCCTCGTAGTACAAGTACAAGAAAATCTGGCTTGGTCTTATCCTGTGCGAGAATTACACGCGGGCCAAGCCAGACCCTTCGAAGAGGAGAGGGTTTTTGAACGCGAGGCACATCGAGTTAACACGAGGAGGAAGAGGAGAAACAGAAGGAGAAAGACAAGTGGAGAAAGAAAGAGAGAGACGGAGAAAAACAGGTTGGTATGGGTGGACGCAAGCGAAGGAAGGGGTTAGCCTATCGGCTCGGGGGTTGCTCGGAATCTATCGGTGGGCCAGATTTCACTGACACACAGTTCTCTCTCTCCCCCTTCCCCCGGCTTACCGGCACACGCAAAACGATATCCTCTCGCCGTGCCACGTGACCCCCTCCTCCCTGCGTCGGTGGTGAAAGACGACGGAAGGCGACAGAAGAGG